GACCCATTTTGGACCCGAATCCGGACCCGGATCCGTTGGACCCGACAGATCCGGATCCGGGTCTTCATTTTCTAGACCCGACGGATCCGGGTCGGATCTGGATCCTACAGACAAAAACGGATCTGGATCCGGGTCCATCCGAACCCGGTCCAGATCCGACCCATTGCCATCCCTAATCACTAGTATGGAATTACCGGACCAAAATGCTGAGGATTATATGTATTGGAAATTTCATAAATCAGGACAATACACAGTCAAAACAAGGTATGCTTTTTCTCAAACTAGTTGTTGGTTCAACTCATTTTGAAGGGGTTATCGAAATTTATAAAATCTTGTGGTCTCTCGATATTATGTCAAAGTGGAAACTATTTTTGTGGAAACTTCTTCACAACAGAATTGCAACAAAAATCAATTTGGGAAGAAGGGGCTTGGACTCGATGTACATTGTGACCTATGTGGTTCACAGGAGGAGGCTTTATAGCATTTGTTCAGATTTTGCAAATCTGCACAGAATGTCTGAAGGGGTAGAATATTACGAATCCACTCACAAGCTAACGTAGACCAATCATTTAATGATTGGATTTTGTACTAAATCCGACTATTTTTAAGCCATGATGGTCTTAGTGGTCATGGGACCACCTTTTTTGTTGGAACCTTATGGGGGTTGTGGTTGGAAAGGAACAATAGGGTCTTTGGTCACTCTAGAATGATACACCTTACTACACCGACAGTTATTTCTGAAGGCCTTTGACAACAAGGTTTGTTTTCACGAAGGTCGGAGGACAATTTGAGGTCCTTACACCCGCCTGCACGGATTGCTGAGTGGCCTTCAGGGTTTATGCGGACTATATTACAAGACTCTTGCTCTTAACACTTCCCAACTGCCATACTAGTGGATGGTTCTTAGAATAAACACACGCTCAGGTCAGGAATGGGATGGTGCCCGTAGAATATAATCCTGGGGGACTTAGGAATTGTGGAAGGAGCTTCCTTTGGGTTCTCTCAATCAGCCTTGCATGTTGAGATGAATTCTTGTTTGGAAGGTCTACGTTGGGAAATCAAGGCTTCCTTAAGGGCGGTTACTATTTACACAGATTCGATCTTAACGGTCTAGGCTCTCAAGGAGTCAAAAGTTATAGATATTAATCTCAGGTAGACAATAGAACATATTTGTTGACTTAATAGCGCGTTTGATTGGTGTAGTGTTCATAAGGTGGAGCATGAAACAGTGCACATGACACATTTATTGGCTACTACTGCAGCCAATAGTTTATCTTCCTTTAGTATTCTTATATAATTCTTGTGTTTAAGCTCATGTTAAGGCCAGGATTATTATATTGGTAAAATCCATATGGTGGAATCCCCATATGTGTAATACGATGCCACCTATACAAATTAAGAAAGTATACATTATGATGAATGTAACCATGGATTATACCATAACATTTGTTTTATTAAAATTAGTAAATTATTAGTCAATATCATTAATTAAGTGAAAAGTGAAAAAAAAAAAAAAAAAAAAAAAAAAAACTATAACACTCAAGGTAAACACGGAGGGAGTATGGTGAATGAAGTTGTCCTTACCATTCATTAAAAATAAAACAAGAACCGTATTTCGACGGATGATATCCTGAATTACGCACTTGTAAATGATAGAGTTGTGAGGTCAATTGACCAGATTGGTAAATAAAAATGACCCTTAGAACCAATTTGGTATTAAAAAAAAAATAAGATAATAAAATAAAAAAAACCAACCCCAAACGACAATTTGGTAAATAAGTAATCTTAGGCAAAATTTAGAGAAAAGAATACAAAATTTTCCAACAGACTACTTGCGAATGCTTAATTTCGTTCGTTTTTCGTGTTTTTTTTTTTATAAAAAAAAATGCCTGCTAATTTTCCATATCTTTTCAAGGAAATTAGGATTTGAAGAAAAAAAAATTAATGTTAATTTTCCTATCCCTTATTAACGAAAATTCAACAAAAATAAAAGGGGGTAGTTGGAAATAAATTTGGTATCGAGATTTAGCAAAACAAAAAGGGATGACATATTAATTTAATATTTTAAATGGGAAAAAAAAATTCTTTATAAAACAATAGCGAATTAAAATAGGTTTTTGAAGAGTTAGTTGGAAAAAATATATTTTTTTGTTTTAAATGTTGCCTTTTACCATAGGAAAAATTGACGGGAATAATCCCAACTTTGGCCGATTCGCTTAAAATAATCCCAACTTTCGATTATTTTTTAATAATCCGAACTTTAATATCACTTTGCTTCTAATGGTCCCAACCGGTCACTTAACTTGTTATAACAAGTTTAATGACACGTGTCGGCACCTAATTGGTCAAAAAATAAAAAATAAAAATAAATTTAATTTCTTTTAGAAAAAATAAAAAAAATGAGTATTAAATATGATAAAAAAATATATTAAATAATTAAAAAAAACCACCCCAGCAGCCCCAACCACCATCTCCGCCAATCACAGCTAGCCTGCCCCCCTGCCTCCAACTCCGGCGACGCCCAGAACCTCTCCTCCCGCGACGACGCACCATCCCACCCTCTGAACCACCAACCCTCACATAATCCTTTAAAACCAACGACCCACTATCGAGTCAGCCGCCGCTGCCCTTCTCCACTCCCTCACTTCCCTCCAAGCTCCGCCCAACGTCAATTTCTTCCATGGTAGCTTGTTCTCTGCCTTCCGACGGGGCCGTTGATTATGCTTTAGCCACTGTTCTTGGATGCCTCTTGGGTTACGGTGGTTGTGGTAGGATTGGGTATTGGGTTGGGGAGGTAGGGTGGTGGTGGTGGAGGTGGACGGGTAGGTGTTGGTGACCGAGGGGAGGTAGGGTGGAGGTGGCTGGGTCGCTGACTAGTTGGTGTTGGTGAAATGGTGGCTGGAGTGGTTTCTGGTTTGTACTTTACAACATCAAACTTTTGTATTTTTTTAATTATTTAATTTTAAATTAAGTGATTAAGTGTTAATTTTTTTTTAAGAGAGTTAATTAAGTGTAGTACAGAATTTTTTTTAAAAGATATAATTAAGTGTTAATTTTATTGAATAAATAATTAAGGGTTGATTAGTGAAAAATAATCATGTTTCTTTACAAACATTAAAATTATTATACAAAAAAAAATTGAACAATCACGTGGTGACGTGTGTAAATTAAATCTATAAAAAAACAAAATTACCTACTCAACAGGTTACCGGTCATATGGGACTATTAAAAGCAAATTCATATCAAAGTTCGGATTATTAGAAAATAATCGAAAGGTTGGATTATTTTAAGCGAATCGAACAAAGTTGGGATTATTCCCGTCAATTTTTCCTTTACCAAATTGTTGCTAAAATTTGGTCAATTGGCCAAGTTGTGATAAATGATTATGTTGATGAAAGGGTACATTTTAAATACGGGTTTGGGCCACACCCATAAACCAAGATAGAGAGAGTCTATCTCATAAGTCCAAAGAAATTTTCATTTCAAAACTATATGGCAATATAAAGAGTAGCCCCTTAGCCTTATAAAGAGTTTAACTCTCTCTTCTTTTCTCGATGTGGGATACTTATATGTGTTATTAGATAGGATATACTTCAACTGTACAACTATTTATAGTGCTATAAGAGAATAACTCTAATACAATCTCTATGATTGACAAGAATCAATTAATATAATAAGTGATTATAAAAAATATTATGGAGGATCAAAGATATATAATTACATAACATAATATCTTGTTATACAAAGATAAAAGGATTTAATAATAATATTGATATCAAGAGATTGACCACTTGTAGACCACATGTAGAGTCTACAAGGCATCACAAAATGTTTGATTGACCTCATCTTTGAAGAGGACGGTCATGTTTCTAAGCAATACGTCTGTGCCTCATCAAAAAGTGGTTTTGGGATTTTTTAGAAGCATTGCACATTCGTGCCTAGACGAGTGCGTGTGAGTGTCTGCTTGGAGATTACAGGCCACTTGCGACTATGGAACTCATGCCTATACAACTATTGCTTTTTTTTGGTGTTTAGAGAGCCACAGGGGCGGGATGAGAATCGATCCCAAGATCTCTTGGAACTGGGAGAGAAGCTCTAACCACTTGAGCTACCCCTCATTCTCCCTATACAACTATTGCTGAGTGGACGTTTGCGTGATTTTGTTTTTATTGTAGAGATTGCTATCTAAATTCCTGAGGGTTATTCTTGGCCTTGTGATATTCATCATCAATTTGTAATTAGTATTTCCTTAAGAGAAATAAAAATATTCTTCTCGCTTGCCTACAACCCTATAGACATAACATAAATTTATGTCACATGTGTTCTTTGTTGATTTCGCTTATCTTTTTTGCATCTGTTGTAACACACTTGAACCTAATTTATAACCTTTATTATAAACTATATCGTGGAAGTAATAATACTCCATTAATTTCAAAAATAAATGTACCGCTTTGACTGGACGCATATCCCAATAATTTCTTTAATTGTTACTTCCTCTATTTCATGATATTTCACGATGTTAGTCTCATTTGAAATCTTTTGACTATTAAAATTACTCCATAAGAGGAAATCTTGTAAACTTCTCTCTATATATAAATTAAAAACAAAATGAAATCTAGTATAATTTATCTTGGTGAGTATTTTATTAGAATATATTTTTTTTTAATATTTGCTAGTATTAAAGATATTTACGATCAAAGAGTTGTGTCGATATAGTAAATAGAATTAACATTATAAAATGAAGGAAAACTATAAGTATTTAATTTAAATACTACCTCCGTTACATATTATTTGCAACGATTTGAAATAAAGTAGAGAGGAAAAATGTCTAATCGTTGCAAATAAGATGTAACAGAGGTAGTAGTTGATGTTTAAAAGAATAAAAGCTATATTTTGAAATGATATAACAAATGCCTACATGACTATATACTTTTTCTTATGTCTAAATCATTAAATTTGGTAAAAATGAATTATGCAAATAGCATAAAATTCAATAAAATACTTTTTTTTACAAAAACTACATATCACCTTTTTTTTTTATACCTTTTTTTTTCCAGCCAATATATCACCTTATTCAAGGTAAAGAAAACAAGTATTCAAAATGGTGGACAAATGGGAGCACCTTAATTCAAGAGTGGATTATTAAATCTATAAAATTAATGGCTATAAAGACTTCCCAAGTCACCACCCCATTAATGATATTCACAAAAGGCCAATAACAAATCAACTTCAACCTCTAAAATAAAAGAATGGGAGTTCCATCAAAAAAAAAAAAAAAATTTAAGAAATGATTTTCCAAATACACAACCCATATTTTGTCATTGTCAATATGACTCTACCTCCTCTTTCGGTGTGCAAAAAACAGAGGAAGATCACCCTATAACTATTAAGATACTTCACCCCACTCCTCCAATTTTCTCTCTCCTCTATACACTTTTTTTTTCTCTCTCTCTAACCTTCTTCAACCCCCCTTCAACTTATCTATCAGTCAACTTCTTAAATTCACAACTCGAGCCCACATCTAAGGAGAGTTTGATCACATATAAGCTTGACGAGGCTTCATCGTAAACTTATTTTTATTTAGGTATGTATCATACATACAAGTACAATATATTACATATTTTTTTTTTTAAATTTGGCTCGTTTTACAAGATTGAATCTTACTTTCAATCTTTTTTTTTTTTTTTTTTTTTTTTTGGGATTAAAGGAAAAAAGTTTTAAAGGTGGTTTCTTTTTCTGTTCTTTTTAGTACGGATAAACATTGAATGTTGTTGCCCAACTTTTACGACTATTTCTCTATTTTTATTATTTTTTTTTTTTTTTTTAGGAAATACTATTTCTCTAGTTGAATTGTAATTTAAAGTTGTTTTCTCATCTTACTGCTTTTTCATGGGAACTTTCTGCAAAATCATACAAGTAAAAGGGTAGTATTATATAATCGTGTTAATGTTAATGTACACAATAATCAATATCTTGATTTTGGATCATTTTAATTTTTTTTATTAATAGTCACGTTGAGAATGTAATTCAAACTAACAATTGTAGGAAATAATTTCAATTTTTTTTATTACGACAATTTCATAGCTTAATATAGTTTGATTGTATTATAATAATTATATATTTATATGCATTATAATATGTATAGGGTAATAAACAAAGGAGTTGGCCAGTTGGGTGTCGGATGGAATTAATGGTAGCATAATTAAATTTTTTAGTCTTTCTTTGTGCATGTAGTCATGTGAAAATATTTTTTCTTTATTTCTTTACTAACTTATTTGAATTGTGTTTTTAATTATTTGATTGTAATTTATTTAATAATTGCTTGTAAAATATGGTAAATTATATCATGCACCCAAAAAACCGAAAGTATGTAGAGTAATGACGAATTAATATATGTGCACATGACAAGTATGAATGATATGTATTAAGAGGCGTTATAAATGCTCGATTCACATACTCATGTTAATATTAGTAAGAAAATAACAATTGATTCCTCATATGATCATTTGACGGTTTTTTTTTGAGTTTTACACGTTAAATATGACTTATAATAAATTATTAAATTAGACTCGCTAGAATAAGTTGTGTTGATATTTTGGTAAGGAGAAGGGACCCATTAGAAGTGAAAATTTTTATAAAGTAAGCTTGATGAGGATCAATCAAAGTGGGAGCGAGGCCACTACTCTTTAATTTCATCCTTCTATAAATTTTTTAAAAATAAAATAAAAAACAGTTTTACAAAAGTAGTGTAATTCTACACGTCTAGACTTATTTGGACTAGTTTGGTGTAATAATTTATTTATAAGCCTTTAATAGTATAGTTACTAAATTCATGAACATTGGATCTAATCCACTAATGTGCACGTTCATCTATTTCAAGCTATAGTTTTTTAAGTTGACAATTTTATAATTAACACTTTGGATCTGCTAATCTCAATTATAGTATTCTTGCATTAATATAATCATAACTATAATCCATTGGATGATCTTAATTAGGAGGCTATGACCTTTAAATTATACTTGTACATTGTACTAGTTAGCTTCTTTTGACGAAACTACAATCTTAATCCACAATACTAGGCCTAATTTTTGGGACGTATGCATAACTTGTTAGAGACTTGTACATATTCTTTATCTACTAACGCGATTAATTGTTTGCTGGGAAGAAAACTAGCTTACATAAGATGAAGGTAATGTATTGGTTTAGCTTGTTTTGAAGAATAATGTGATGGGAAATGGTATCTGGGTAGGTTGATTAATCAACGAAGTTATTAGCTTATACTAGTATAAATTTGGCTGGATCGAGTTGACAAATAATAAGCTAACTTGTACCAATTCATCGGTTGCAGTTGATGGCTTCAGCTCTGTGTGATTATTCGTGGACATCATCGCCTTCCAATGGTCATATGCACAGCTCTTTCGATATCAGGAAATCAGAAAAAAGTCCGGCCAAAACTTTACCAGTGCTGGAAACTCCAATCTCTTCCTCATTACAAAGCAATATTCCTGCTCCACCTCCCCTGCCAAAATTGATCATTGCAAAAAGGAGTCGTCGAGAGAGTTCACAGGAGTTATGTGGCATTCCAAAAGAAACAAGAGATATGTGGGATAATCTCTTCGAGGAAGGTTATGCAGCTGATGTTTATCTCATTACTGAAGACAATGGAACTGTTCCTGCACATTTCTGTGTTCTGGTAACTGCAATGAACTTTTCTGTTTACCTGTACTATTCGATTGTGATGCAGGAAAATACTTGTCCTAGCAAACTCAATAATTTTGTTTCGAAGGCCTAATTATACATCCTGTTTTTGTGTAGAGCATTGCATCACCTGTTCTGGGGAAGTATCTTCAGGATTCCAAACTTAAGGATGGTGTTCGATATGTCAAGATTCCTGGAGTACCTAATGGAGCTGTCTGTGCTTTTATCCGTTTCTTGTACTCCTCTTGGTATGTCTTCATACTTTTCTCATTTCAATGGATAAATCTCTTTCTTTCACAGAATATACTAGTAGAAAATGCTGCTTGTGCTCAACAATCAAAGCCTGAAACCACTTTGACACTAAAAAGAAAATTATACTGACAAAAACCAACAGATTGTACGAGTATTCTGTTTTTATAGAATCTACATCACAAAAGTGATTGAATTTTCAGCATATTATGTAATTTCAATTTGTTCATACATTATGCTTCATTATTCTGTGCAATCTATACGACCGACTGTTTCATATCCTTAACAGTTCTTGTATATGACTTGTCACGTCTTCAGATTCTCTTTCTGAGGAAGTATATAGTAAACGATTTTTCTGTTTTCTTGTTGCAGCTATGAAGAAGAGGATATGAAGAAGTTTGTACTCCACTTATTGGTTCTGTCACATTTTTTTGTTGTTCCCTTATTGAAACGAGTCTGTATGCGGTATCTGGAGAACAACTGGCTGAACACAGAAAATGTAATAGATGTGCTCCAATTAGCAAGGCAGTGTGATGCACCCAGGCTAACCTTTGTATGTATCCGCATGGTCGTCAGACACTTCAAAACTGTTGCATCCACTGAAGGATGGAAGGTCATGAGGCGTGTTAATCCTGCACTCGAACAGGAGCTTTTAGAAGCTGTTGTTGAAGCAGACTCTGTGAGTAAACCTTCTGCATCCTTTGATTATACTGTCTTATCATCGTTCTCTATTCCAATTTACACCTGCTTCAGCAGCCTACCAATGAATATAAATGCTTCAACAAAACATAGGCAGTTACTGATATTGTGTGATTCATGATGCTGTTTTTCCCTGTAGAGAAAGCAAGAGAGGCAGAATAAGATGGAAGAGAAAAAGGTATACTTACGACTGCACAAGGCAATCGAAGCCCTGCTTCATATATGCAAAGATGGTTGTAGCACAATAGGACCTCGAGACAAGATGCTAAAAGGCGGTGAAGTTTCTTGTGGTTTCCCAGCATGCAAGGGGGTTGAAATGTTAGTCCGCCATTTTTTCATTTGCAAGACTAGAGTTCCAGGCGGGTGTGTTCAGTGCAAGCGTATGTGGCAGCTTCTAGAACTTCATTCGCGCATGTGTGATGTCCCTGAATCTTGCAATGTTCCTCTCTGTAGGTAAGCAAGGGGTTGTCTTAATTTCTTAGGAATAAGAGTTATCTTTAAGGAAAAGCTCTGCTTAAGCCTTTTTCTTCCACCTTTTCAGGCACTTCAAGGAAAAAGTGAGGCAACAAAGTAAGAAAGATGAGGCAAAGTGGAAGCTATTGGTAAGAAAAGTGATAGAAGCAAAGAACTCGAATCATTTCGCTGCTAGGTTCTCGGGTTCTTCTTGACCATGTTAACCTCAATGTGAATTGGGAAGACAGTATATGTATACGCCTCCATGTATTAGTAGTGAGGGAAATTATAGTTATTCAGTAACTCATGAATAACAACAAATCAATGGAATTAGGTATTCCTCCAAACTAAGGGGATATTCTAATGTAAATCTTTCAAAGATGTAGATACAAATAATACCTAGATTTCGATTTTTCCTCTGTATGACAAACTTTGTTAAATCATACCGTAGAGGAAACAGCAAAATGCTGCTTAATTAGCTGTTATTTTTCTCAACACAGCTATATGATTATAGGAATGTGCTTTTGGACTTTTTCAGATAATTTTTTAAAGGTAGGAAAAAGGTCCTATCAAGTTGAAATCTCGCACAAGTTAACCCAACAAGGATTAGCGAGCAAGACTCTTTAAGAATCGGAAAATCCAAAGTGACCCTATTGGGATTTGATCCCTAAGTCGGCTATTGGCAATATAACAAGTACAGTAGGTGCGTTTGCACAAGACCTCAAATTAGGGAGGGCTTTAATTTATTCAAGTAAATTTTATGATTTTTTTAAAACACAATTTGCCTCAAATTAAGCGCATCAATTTTGATCACTCATCCATTTTCAATTATCCAAACAATTATAGTTAGAAAAAGAGAAGATTTATGGTCATTGAAGAGTATTAGAGAATAATCACAAAGCAAACATCCCGGCTTCCAAAATAGTTGACGTGGTCCTATTTGATCCCATAACATCATGATTGTGAGACACAAATCTTTTAACTAGGCCAAGTCTTTTATGATAATGTGATTTTGGACTTGTCTAGCCTAAGAATATGACAAAAAAAGTATAGTAAGAATGTAAAATATTGCTGGTACCAAAACTTGATGTATGTATTCAAAGGAGCATAATTGTGGCAAGAAAAAGGACACTGAGTCTGTGATGGCATAACTTATGGACTAATATATTTAGATCCAAATATCCAATAGACCTGACCGAACCGAACCAAACCCAACCCAACCCAACCCAAACTTCCTTGAAAAACAACCAATCAGAGCTGACTTCAAATTCTGAATTTCCTCAAAAAATTTGCATCAAAAAGCAATCCCATCCAGTAGAAGATAGGCATAAAATTACTTTACTTGAGAGCTAAGTATCGAATTTATTTGGAATTCATATTTAAAGTCTTTTCATTTGTCTTCGATTTCTTCAAGATAAATTTTCACCAATAACTTCATTAAAAGTTCCAGTTCATACATACTGAAAACAAAGTAAGAACTTACTCCTGTTCTCAAGCTGAGCAATAAATCAAATTCTGTTTAGGAAAAAAACTGTGCAGCAAAATAAGGCCCAATGTTCTTCCAGGCTCATTTGGATTAGAACAGCCACGTGCCCACGTCCAAATATGCAAAAACAAAATTGAATTAACTGATGATTATAAATGTCATGCTAACAATTAACTCTTCACGTCGATGTGCTTGTTACATACAATTATCTAGAATGAGAAGAAAACCAGGTTCAGTCACCAGTTAAAAAGCTTCTGCCCCAATCTAGATCTTTAAAGTCTACACTTCAATGTCAGAATGACAACAGCACGAATTCAGATTGCTCCAACAATTTTCCAGCCCAGAACTAAGCTCCATCAGCAAGTGTCCTCTTTGTTGTACTGATATATAGCACTGCATTTGGAAAAAAGGATCAGTTTGCAGCAGCATAATAAAAGTATAGAAATACGGCAACTAACAATTAAATTGTAGAAAACAGAGCAGTTTCCAGCAATTACCATTGTTTCCACGAATGAATGCATCACCGTATTTATTTTTCAGCTGACCGTTAACATACTCTTCTGTTTGCTCCATTGCAATGTTCATGTATCCGTCCAGGCATGCTAAAATACCTGAATATTCAAATTACTAGAAATAAGACAGTTTAAAGCCCAAATTGATCAGACATCTTAACAAATGTACTTCTTCAGCATACTGAAATACCTTGACTTGAACTTAATTTTTGCTTATTAAATAGACAATTTTTCTTATCTAACCTTCTTGTGTATGATAATTTATTATCACTACCCTACCTAGAATTCTGTTCTCAACCCATTAAAATAAAACCCCATAAGTACCCCAAATTTCAGTGATTATTTGTAGTAAAATATCATGACAATTCTTCAGTATTAAAAACTTCCTGAAAATGCCAACATGCTCAAACCTGGAAAGCCAAAGGAATTGCAGTAAAAATCAACCTATTTGCTATTACACAAAAGATAATGATAAATACATAATTTTAAGAGAATACTCCTTGAGGACTATGAATCTTCTAGTCTAGACCATTAAATGATTCTCAACTTGTTATAGAACCTTGTACAACATCCACTTAAGTGAAAACACCACACTTCTCATAGCCATAACCAAGCAACCAATACCATATTGTGTCCCAACTCCACACTCAACCCATCAAGCAGCCAACACCACAAATTTGTCCTAAAGAGCAGAAACTCAAGCAATAATGACTCCAGGTTTGCGAGTACCTGATCAATGATATTATACCGACTGTAATATGACACCATACAGCTTTAGAACGAAAGCAATGAGCTAATGTGGCCATTTTCTGCAAAATCTTCTTTTAGAATACTACGTTTACATCACTATATTGACTGTCAAAGTCATGAATTAGATTTCACTAATCAGATATGCCGGATATAAACTATTCCAACAAGTTCCTGGATTGCAAATTACATGAATAGTTGTGATATTTGGCACAAGAGTAGAAAAGTATTCAAATTCAGAAATATAACTTAAATATATATCCCCCACTCCCTCTCATCTTCTAGCCTTTCTTTCAACAACTCTTGAGGTGGCTAAAATTAGGTCTCTGCATCAGCAGGGTTATTGCCTAGAAAGAAAAGTGCTATAACCCCCCCCCGGTAGAATTAGTTATATACACCCGAGTGTACCGTACACCCAACTAATTCAAGATTAATTTTTGCTCTTCATTTGATGATTAAATAAGAAACAATTATCAAAATGAGAACAAAATACTTATGGGTGTACGATACACCCGGGTATATATAACAAGCTCTCCCCCTCCAAAGCTATATTCCCCTTATTTTGTAAACTCCAGCCATGAAGTTATCATTGGTAGCACGCACCAACTACAGCGTGTCTGACAGCTATGACTCTGTTTGTGACAACTGACAAGTAGTAAGATAAACCATTGTTATAATAATGTAAACTTACAAGGCCTAACTATGTGTGCGTGTGTGTGAGTGACTGAGTGAGATACTTATCTACAGCATCTGACAACTCTGACTATGAATGACAACTGAGATTATTTTAGAAAACAAGATAGAAAGGAGAAATTAAATTTGGTGACTTAATTAAGCCCACTTTATTCTAAGAAAAAATTTGTGCGATTATATATTAGTTGTGCCTTCCTTAAATGTCACAAAACTACAGTCAAGATCCCAATTCCCACGTGACCCAATGCACATCATAGATTTCTAAATTTATAAAAGGAGTAGAACCCAGCAATCTCAGTAAAAATAAAAATAAAAAAAAATTATTAAAAAAAAAATCTACAAAGATATACATAAAAATATGAAACTATTCAGTCAGTTTTCATGATGTGAAGCATCTGCTCACTATTCCATTTCAAAGACCTAGATTATTGGGAAGTGAGGGAAAGCTAAATAGCTAATTCCCAATATTGTCTCCGTAACATGGAAATTTGTGAAAATACCCAAGAGACATGCATATGACTTTATGAGATCATCCGCATGTGAATTAAGTAGTCGGCTAATAACTTTGATTCCACCAAGAAAACTCGAAACTTCTTTGATTGATTTTGCTTTGGACAATCCCTAATAATTAACATCCCAGCATAGTCATGCAAAGATAAATACAAAACCAGCAAACCTTTAAATATGATAACCTCTATAACCCAATATCTACCAACAACACATAAACGGTCACTATTTACCCACAAACCATGTCTATACAGATCAAGCACCAAATTTGCCCACAAATCCCATAAAAAGTATAAAAACCATGTCTAAGCACCAAACAACCATACCAAAATAGATATTCTACCACAAAATGTTTCAAAAATTACAAAATATGACTGAATGTGTGATTCATCAGTAACAAGTCCAAGTCCAAAAAATCATATCAACAGGATTTGTCTTCTTTATAATCTACCATAACAACCATCCCTTGAACCCAAAATAAATTTGCATATGATAAAGTTGGGAGCACAAAAGAATTCAGGACTTGAGGGATTTCCAACAATATTGGGAATTATAAGCAATAGATGCAATTGATCTCAATACAGAACAGCACAAGTCAGTTGCAAACATCTCAAAAACAATATCTGTTTAACTGTTTTATCGTTTCTTGTAAATAAAATTTGAAATTATTTCAAAAGGTCAAACTTTTCTTTTTTTTTTTTTTTTTTTGGAAGGCAAAAAGGTCAAACTTTCCTTCTGACCAATTCAATTATTCATCAAGTAAATAATGGGAAAATTGAAAGCTATGGTCTCTGGATGTAGGTACTGGGCTATTTGTTTTGAGAATATAACATTAAAGGTTAAAGATATTTAGGGACTATGAACGCAAATGAGACGATGAAAGGCATAGAGCCATTGACAAACCATCTAAGTTATATCCCATCTGATTAATAGACTACTGAAGTGCTTAAAAAGCTTCATCATATGCATAAAATGTTGCTCTCTTCACACTTATACCCTGAGCCGGACAAAGTATATTCTCAATTACTGAGTGCAATTGTTTAGGCTCTTGTTTGGTAAGGCTATTATTATTTTTATTTTTTGTTGTTGGAAACGAATTCAATTAAACCGTTACTATAACCTATGGTTTAGTTAGAGGGTTTAGGTAACAATTACCATTACCATTACCTAGGGGTAATGGTTTCCTCCAACTAGTTACCTCTCTATAATCTGAGGTAATAAATACCCTTCCTCAAACATTAAGTGATTCCTTCCCCCCTCTTAATTATTTCCTTTCCATTCCATTTCCAACATTTGAACCAAACGGCCTAAGTGTAATGGACAACAAAGAAGGCAAAAACCCATAATATAAAATCCCTCAGTATTCAGATCTCTACACACTAGCTCACACTGCCAGCTACAGACACACTAACACCCATTCAGGTTTCGCAACCGAAACCGCGCAACCGAAACCTCAAATCAACACTTGTTCTTGATTCAAAGTGAAAGCAATAAAAGTGTAAAATTATCAACAACAGATATTGAAGTTCAATTTACTGAATTTCTAATAAACAATAACAAAATCAACAAAAGCGCGTTGAACTAACAAAGTGATTCATATATTTAGGAACAAATCAAATGAAACAAAAGACAGAATTAGGGCAAATTACCACGATAATCAACACCAGAATTAAGCTTCACAACAACAGGACGACCGCGAATTGATTTGAGAAAATCTGCAGGAGTTTTAGTATTGCCAGTCGTTTTTTCTCCTCCAGTACTCATCTTAATTCACACTAAGTAGCTAAATGCAAGACATACAGAACAAAATCAAAATAAAAAAAAATTTAGGGTTCGTAATTGTTTGAAACGGGGAAAATTACAGATTAAACTAAAATTATCAGATTAAAAAGAATGATTTTATGAAATTAAGGAAAAATTGAAGAAAATGGGGATTGGAGAAGAGTACCTGAGTGAGAAATTGAAAATGTGGAATCGTCGGAGGAGAGAGAAATAGGGGGAGAAGGAAGGTGTGAAGGCAACAGCCAAGAGAAGAGGGACGACAAAACCCGCGAAAAGCCCTAAAAACACTTTCAAGTGGTAAATCCACTACCTTAAACTCTAGTAAACAATTAGTTAGGTTCTCTTCCACTTAACAAAAATAAATAAATAAATAAAAATAATAATAATGTTAGTTTAGTGAAAAAAAAATTAATAAAGGATTGTTCACTTAGTTTAATTTCAATTCTGGTGAGTTTAGCTCCTAATTTTCTTCTCTTATACGGAGTAAAATATTTATTTTAGCTATATTTAGTTTAGTAAATGTTAATAGGCCCTAACTTTAAAGGAGTAATATAATAGATAATGTGTAAAATTTATTTCAACTCAGCAAAATTAATTAAAGTTTAGAAAAAATAATTCTCCTTTCAACAAAGCAAGGCCTTATGTTTTGCAAAAAACACTCATAATCATAATATGCCGTCAAAAAAGGTATCAAATACAAATTACAAAATAGTTAAAATTACCCTTAAATATGTTAAAGTTACTATAAAAAAATAGTTAAAATTACCTATAGATTGATCGTCTTTCAATACAATTAACTAAAGTCTATCTGTATTGACTGTATATATGATTTATTTGCTAATAAATCACAAAATATTGGCAAAGACAATTATATAAATAGTGTAAAAATTTAAGTGATGCAATTGAAAAGAACGGGAGTGAGTTTGGATACATTTTGCTCCAAATCAGAGCCAATTTAAATTAAAATAAAAAAAAAAATTATATCCAAATATGTAGTTTGCCCGTTACATAAGAAAAATAGAGCCGCCTCCCTTTTTTCTCTCTTCTCTCTTTAAGGTTTTAATTTTTTTTGGCCGTTTAGGCCGGAAATAGTCTATTTTTTTCCCTTTTTCTTTGATTTAATTTGCTTTTTTGTTATTTGATTTGTTTTGCTTTGTTTTGTTCTCTCCGTTTGTGAGAGTCCGTCCCAATTTTTTGGGATTTGATTCTCATCAATAGATGAGAATTTTATTTTTAGGGTTTTAATAATAATTGATATGGTGATTTGGATTCATATGAGTTTAGGGTTCGTCATCAACTCTACGATCACAACATCAGCGCAGATTGCGAACGTCTCTACTTGGAAAGATGCAAAGACATCGAAAAGCACTACTCGCGTCAAGTTTGAAGTGGTGGAGTGTGAGCTATGCCCGATATGCAAATTAGTTATGATTTTGATTGTAAAAGTTATGTTATTTTTTTCTAAATCTGTGGTTTACAAATCTTTATTATTGTTGTAAATGTTGTATGGCTATTTATTAATGATAATATTCTTCTTCTTGACAAAAAAAAAAGGTTTGCCCATTAACTTAGAATCAAACTAAAACAACCCTTTAATAATAAATAAATAAATAAATAAATAAAACGAAAAACAATCAAAACAAACTTTGGATAGGATTTGAGTCATATTCATATTCTTAAGCTCACATTAACTCTCGAAGCTAAAGGCTTGTTCAAATTTTTACGCAATTATCTTTAGTGTCATATATTTCCATTATGGTGTGATTTATATCGGAGTAAAAATCTTAATTCTCCACTTGGATTGTAGCGTTTGGTTGAAATCAAGTCGCTTTCAATGTTATAAAAGTTTGATTTGATTGAAGTTTAATTAGGCAATGTTGAAATCAAAGTGATTGGATTAGTGATCAGCTTGCTGATTAAATGAGAATCTACCTGTTACGGAAACAATATAATTAAATATTAAATACTCTTATGCATAGTATATTCTCTTTTGTCATACCTATATATTCGATTTTAAGTTTGGGAAAATCTGCAGTTTCATCTAATCCGTTTGAGAGCTGTTGCGGGGAAGGGGGGGGACTATTAATTGATATCTAAATATTATTTTTTTATTATTATTATTATTTTTTAATAGTATTTCTATGTTACTCAACACCACCAAAGTCACCCATAACACATGATTTTCTCCAAAACTCTTTGCATGTTCTTTTCATTAGGATTAGAATCATTATATTACTGTCAACTTAACTTTGTGTTGAAATAGCCTAATGCAATATAGGTAACATACAATATAGATTAGCCAACAACATTTTGACATATTTGGAAAACAAAGAAGGAAAAAGCCCGACTCAACTCCATACAAAAACCTCCATAACTCTAAAGCGAAATCATATCAAGACGATAAGCTTAAAAGCGATTAATAGTCTTAACATACACGACATGTTTACAAATCATCATTCCCTGCCTGAACACACCCAATTAATCACTATTGTGACAAGTCTAATGGATCACTTCCTCGGTCTCCTTTTGTTTGCGGCTTTGTGCTTGTACAAAATAAGGGTTTGTTATCCTCGACTGAGCTAAGCTGACCTGAATTGAACTGAATATTTTTTTAAAAAAGAAATAAGAAATTAAAATGCTCTGAAATGAAAATAAGTTGAAGAAAACCGGCCCTAACCACCAACAAAAGATTAAAACAACTAACCCCAACAAACGGGATAAAAAGACGCTTTGCAAAAACCTACTTGGAGGTGGAAATAGCCAAATCGGATAAGTAAATAAATAACCAAAAAATAAGTACTTGTATTTGTCTTGTTTTGTTTTGTGTTGTTTTCGATTTGAAGCTCAACTCTCTCTAGATCTTTCTGATTCCTCCAATTCTCCAAGGTACGTCCTTTATTCTTTCTTTATTAACAATTTACCCTCTTTATTGTAATTTCTCCATTCTTTTGGTTCAATTTTTACCTTTTCAAATTTAAATTAATCATCAAATTTGGTGTTTGTTTTTAATGTTTACGTGATTCTTTTGGATTAATTTTGAGGGTTTATTGGTAAGAATTTGTGGGTCAATTTTTCCAATGTCAAGTTTTAATTTTTTTTTGGTATTTAGGGTTATTATTTTTTTTTTTTAGGTGTTGACGCAGCCATGAAATTTACGAATTAGGGTTTTTCGCATTACGACCTATAGATAATGTATACATTTAGGTTAAAGGGTTTAATTTATTTTCTGTTTTGAGATTTTGTCTTAATATTTGAAGGGGTATTATAAAGATGATTACAAATTAAATTGCGTTTTGGTTGGTACGAAAGATTGCTTTATGGAAATATGGAATTTGTTAAATTCATAATTTTATAGTAATGTTTGAATGAATATTAATGGTTTGTAATATGAATGTTTGCAGTTATTTGGTTTGTAGCAAAAATCACCTGAGAAATTTGAGGAATTTCTGTGGTAGGTTCTGATTGTAAGAGAAGTGACGGAATAACAGAGAAGAGTGTTATCGAGTCGAATCGAATAACACATTGATAAAAAATTATGGAGAGTGAGCTGGTGATATTGTTCGAGGCCGCCAAGAAGGCGGCAGACGCGGCAGCAGCGGAAGATATTGGCTCTGCCGATGACGAAGCTCGTTGCCTTGCAGCCTTGAAGGAGCTTAAGGATTTCCCTGTCAATTATCAGCTTCTTGTTTCTACCCAGGTTTGTTCTACTTCTGTACATTTCTTTCCTTTCTGTTCCATTAATTAATAATTATAACTGTAAAATACGATCTTTATCTTGGGTATGAAGTTTGTCGTTACCAATCAATCAATCAAAGCCTTAGTACCTATAAGTGGGGTCGGGTAAGTTTGTCGTTTCCAAGTGGCATCGAAATTTGTATCTCTGAGTGACATTCTCTTCTTACACGAATGTGCGAGACATTACTTTTAAAGTCATGCCTAATTCTTAACTAAGGTTGATTGAGCTTTAGGAACTTAACTTTAACAGTGGTGAATGAAAAAAAGGATAAATCTTTTCGTTGGCCTATCAGGATATCTAAGATACGCTACCGGTTTAACTGTGAGTATAGGCTGAAATATTGCCTTTTGAGGGATTATTATTATGGTTTTCCCATTTTTGGATAGTAAGGATAAGGAAGGGTTTTGGGAGTATCAGAAGTTTCCTATAATGTGAAATTTGGATATTATTTATCATTTAGGATTATATTGACTAATTGTTTGAATTTGAACGGATAATTACTGCAGCATAGAATAACCTACGTAGACAATTGATGTATTTTCACAGCTATATCCCCCAAAAAATAGTGTTCTAGTGTTTTTCATCCATGCATAAAGTAACTCAGTAGTCAAATCATTCATGGTGTTTAGAGAAGTTTTTGGAACTTGAAATTTCATACTTTATGTTGCAACATGCTTTTGAGGATGATGGTTGACTAGAAAAGATCAAAAGAATATGGATAGAGTTCATCATGAGTGGTTGTTGGACTGACAATCATTGGCAAATCATTCTTGGAAAATGAATATGGGTATTCCTTTTTTTCTTTGTTAAAATCGAGTGGAGTACTATTGAACTTATAGACCTGTTGGGTTATTGTGCTGCTGAGTTTCTGCAAGGGCCATTGTTTTATGTTTTATGAGATGCCCTGCTGTTGTTTCATAATGCATTTACACTGTTAGGAATCCTAGGATTTTAATGTTTTTTTGGAGGTGGGGAAAGAGAAATAAAGGAATTGGGTGGGGTGGGACTACTACCCCCATTTCATTGTTTTTGCAACGATATGACATAAACTGTGAGTGGAAAGTGTTTAATACTCTAATCGTTGCAAATAATATGAAACAGAGGTAGTATTTGTGTAACATATTAACAATTGTGGTGAGTAATGAAAGGGAAGAGACTGTTGTATAAAAGTATTTCCCATCCACCGGACTCAAAAACTGACTGTCCAGACTGTTTCATAGCTGTTCTACCAGAATATTATATTACTCAACTAAATAAGAATCAACATGGAAGCTGAATATCTATGTGAACCTTAGTATGAAGTATGAACCTCACTTCCTGCAACTACTAGTGCAATATTAGTAATCTATCCTTACCATAGATTTATGGTTTAGAATATCAAAAGCTGTTAATAAAATCAAAATTAAAGGGGAGAAAACCGAGAGAGGAGTAACAGAGGGAGAAGAAGAATGAGGAGGAGAGACAAAATCATGACAGAATGAGGAATGGAGAGAGAAATGATGGGGTCAGTTTATAAAGGGTAATATTGTCATTTTACAGGTTTGTAATTTTCTTGCGTATTTCCTTCCAAATCTTTCCCACCTTGAGGATCAGGGTTTATAAAAGAAACAGAAGACTGGAAAAGGCTTATAGTGTTGGGACACTGTACACCGTACAATTTAGGATGCATATGTAGATTGGTTTCTCTATGAGCTACATAATGGCTTCTTTGTTAGAACTTTGCCGGACATTCAAAGTTGCTTACAATATAGTCTATAAGGAGTATTTATAATTTTAATTGAGGTTCTTACTTATTGAGTCAATGTGCACTTAATGATCAGGTTGGAAAGCGTTTACGGCATCTGACAAAACATCCAAGAAAGAAGATTCAGAGTGTTGCAGTTGATTTGATTGAGATATGGAAAAACATAATACTTGAGGAAACATCACAGAAGAAAAATGGTGAGGTTGGTAATAATACTATGAAAGTTGAAGTTACCAATTCTGGCAGTACCAAGAAATCAATTCCGGTAAAGGATGAAAAGAGTCCACGGGGAGGAAATGTGAAAGTCGAAAAAGTTGAACAAGTTGTTTCACCCAGACCGCAAAAGCTTGCTAAGACCGAAAGAGGTCCTGTGGAAAGTAAATTTGAAAATGGTAATGCATTAAAGGTTGGGAGTGTGAGTTTAGCGGAACCTGTTAAGGTTGAGAGAACGGTAAAGCAAGAGAAGCTGGGCTCCAGTGCAAAACCAGCTGCTAATGCTCCCCCAAAGTTGCCTTCCATGGTCAAGGCTGGTGATCCCATACGTGATAAGATGCGAGAGCTTCTTTTAGATGCTCTATCCAAGGTTTCTAGCGAGGCGGATGAAAGCATTAAAGAACAAGTTGATGCTTGTGATCCAATTCGAGTGGCTGTTTCAGTGGAGTCCGTTATGTTTGATAAGTGGGGCCGTTCTAATGGTGCTCACAAGTTTAAATACCGGAGCATTGTATTTAACATCAAGGATGCTAAGAACCCAGATTTTCGTAGGAAAGTCCTTCTAGGGGATATCAAGCCTGAAAGGATTGTCAACTTGACAGCCGAAGAAATGGCCAGTGAGCAAAGACGAATAGAGAATCAAGAGATTGAAAAGAGGGCTCTTTTTGACTGTGAACGTGGGGGTCCACCAAAGGCCACAACTGACCAGTTTAGATGTGGGAGATGTGGGCAGCGCAAGACCACGTACCACCAGATGCAAACTCGTAGTGCTGATGAACCCATGACAACTTTTGTAACTTGCGTTAACTGCAATAATCATTGGAAGTTTTGCTGAGCTTATTTTATTGGAAAATGCTGGCATCGCCTAGCTGCTTGGCACATAGAGGTGATGATTACAACTGCATTATATACTTCAACCTTCTGGTTCCTGTTGCCTTTTATTGTGCAAGTATTTCTGCGGTGCTTGTGCAGTTGCCTGTTTACAATTCCGCCATCTTTGGAATTAGAGAATGAAAGTGATGTGATCTTCACTTTTATTAGTTGTGTCTGATCAGTTTAGATGAGTTTGTAGGATTTTTTAAGTGTTACCCTTCCATTTGTTTTAGATGTTTCTTAATTGTCAGATTGGCTCTTGTAGAGCTGTTATTATTTGAACAATTACGATGGTGAAATCTATAATTTTCTCGCTTATGGCATATGTTACTCATGTCTGTGCTACATACTATACTAAATCTTTTATACAATTTCTTTACAATACATGAACACAATGTGCAGTTCTTCTGTCTTTGAGCACCTCAATTAACCCTGCAGAAGGGGATCGCTTTAATCTCCACCCTCAGCCATGCTATCATAATTGCTAGGGTAAAAGTAAATTTCCAAAATGTGTTTTGATCAATCATGATCTTAACTTGTGATAGTACAGTACAATCTAATAAAGTTAGAAATTTGTTAGGTAATAATGAAAATTCCACTTGTATCATACGGAGCATATGGAGTAGAGTAGAAATCTTCTTGTCTCCTTAAGGAACACCTATTTATCGTCACTCTTGGCTATTGAGATTCAACACGGCGTGAACCTTAAAGACGGTCTTCAGGTCATGGAAGTACTTTATGTATTTATTGACTGAAGAACTTCATATCGACACGAGTTTTATTACCATCTGCAGAACTTTTGGAAGCAACTTCTAGAGGCTGAAAACTTCTGTGGTAATTCCCTGTGAAAAGTTCTGCAGCAACTCCCCATACCATACTAGCTCACGAGCTTTAGTGGCGGAGAGGCTGGGCTGACTACCTATAAGCTTTTTCGTAAAACCAAAGTAATCGCCGCTGGAAGAGATTCCAACTATGCTTCCCTCTAACGATAGAAGTGGAATCCGAGCTCCTAGACTGGGATTCCAATCATTCTGTCCCCTTGGCATTAAAGCTTCACATTATCCTCACTTCCATCAAACTGATGATTAACTTTTGAACAAGATTACAAGTGCAAGCTAAATTTGAAACCCAGGAGGAATCTTCTACGTGAGATTTATGAGGTGCATAAGCTATACAATACAACAAAATAAAACATCCTGAACACTTGTAAATCAATGAAATGAGAACCCTAAGTTATAAGGTCACAACTTTTCAAAAGACGTGCAGTTTAACAATCCTAGCTCAGCAATTTTTATAGGACATCCTCCTGCAATAGAAGAGGCATAAAACTTACATGCCCTATATTCCTAAACATCTTCATTAGCGGTTGTCACACAACAGGTGTCACTGCTGCCTATACAGGGATCACCAAAGCTAACATATTACATCTAGAATTTTCTAATTTGTAGGGCTAGCACAGTTACGTGTTGACCCAGCTCCAGCTGCTCAAGAAGTAATGGCGCAAACAAGAAGAAATACTGGGAGTTCAACAGTTTGCAGATGGATTTTCGGTGCAAATTTGTCATTAGAAGTGATCATAAATTAGCAACTGTGTTGGCAACTTCAGTATGGTCAGACTCCTTAACAGTCAGTCCTTTCTCTTGATTGAACTGCAAACAATGAATGCAAAGTTAAGACTTGAGACAACAATAGTTGAGACTCGAGAATTTGAGAGCATCAAAAGGATGACTGACTTATCTCAGAGCTCTAGCATCAGTAATCTTACTTCAATGAATCAATGAAGATAGTCTAAATTAAATACTGCAGTACGTGCAGTTTTATATCAAGTTATCAACAATAAGCTAAAAACACAGTTTTAACTTTCCGAAAAATAAAATAGAAAGGTATGCATAAACATAATCAACATTTCATTAAAAATGTATACATTCCAACCTGCTAATGCATTACATATACTAGGTAAGTACGAAAAAACACAATAATTACAGAACTGATGAAACCAACTATTTCTGCAAGAGGAAAATAGAAATTATATGCAAGATACTACACTCGTATTATATGGAGATGTTACAGGTGAAGATCACAGAATCTTAATCAAGCATGAGCAAGTTAACAAATTATAGAGTATATAGTAGTTTCAGGCAATCTGGCAAAAAACAGAGGAATATTTCTAGATTTCATGCAGGAACCTTTACTCCTAATTGTTTCAAGTGGCTTACGCCTTACGGCATGAAGGAAAGGGTATCTGAAATGAGGAAAGAAACACTAGTGCATAGAGTTCGTTAACACGGCCTCTTATTTCGCCTGGTTGTCAGATTTGACTGATGGGCAATAAATTTTTGTTTTGTTTATTTTTTATTTATTTATTTATTTTTTTATTGAGGGGGTGTATAAGATGAAAACCTCCTTATTTTCTAACTGTTCGAAAGGCAAATGAATCAAATTCATTTTTTTTTTCATTTTATAATAATTTAAATATCCTTTCACTCAATGTCAAAGGCAATTCTTTTCCCATTATCCTTCCATACAAGGGTTATCATCTCAAAGTTTGACGCAATTTCAAGCGCAAGGCTTTTCTACATGCCCTAATAGCAAAGTGTTATCACACATGAAATTCAAAACTTTTCCCAGCGCATGTATAATTGATAGCTTCATGTTTACACGGACATCATTCAATGCATACAAGTAAGCATTACAAAATTGTCGACAGGGTGTAATCGATAAGCCAATGCACTTCTACTATCATAGAATCTCATAAAAGGAAGGTAATCATTTTTTTACCTGCTTCTCGGGTTCTGCTGATTGAAATCTCATATGTCCAATGTTGCTGAAGGCCTTTTCTTGTCCTTTAGATACATGCTTTAAGGGAGAAAATTCTACTAGTGACAACTGTGACTTTTTCCGCTTCCTTCGCCGAGTAAGATTTGGGCTCCAAAATGGTGGTGGTGTATCAGGAATATGATACAGGACGCCTTTCAGAGTATCAGAGCCCAAATTCACAGACACAACATACCCATGATCCAATTTTTTGTCAATAACTCCAATCAAAGATGCACCAGGCTGTAAATGGACACTTGCTGCATGAAATAATCGCAGCATTTTCTCATTTCAAACAACTTAACTGAAAAACAAAAAATCAATTCTGATGCATATCGATAAAAATGGTTCCATTGGAGCAAGAATTATGTGCTGTGAAATGTGAATAGCTCAATCTAAATTCTATCTAACAGCCATGCTTCTTTTCTACTAGGAAGCACACTGGGTCATAAGCTAAATTCTGATTTGCCCTATTTCTTAAAAAAAAAAAAAAAAAAAAGCTGGTTATGTGTCTAATGCAGAATCAAGCATATCAATGAGGTTTCAGACAAGTTAAATGTCAGATCGCTCTTATTCACACTGGTACAGCACATATAAGTGATATCACACCTTGAGGTCTAATGACATAGAAACAAGGTATTTTGACTCTTGGGGTTATCTTCAGGTTTGCTTTGACAACAATTGGAAGATTATGATGGAAAACTTAGGCCTTGTTCTTTCACTTGATTTTTGCTGAATTAAAATTAATTTTGCTGAACTTATATAATTTTTACTGAAATTACATTACTTTTGTTTCACTTCAATTACTATTACCGAAATTAAATTATTGTTGTTGAACTTAATTTATTTTTTCAGAACTTAAATTAGTTATTTACTGTTAGAACTTATATTTACTTATTAGCTGTTTTTTTTTCAAGTTAATGATTTCTATTTATTAGAACTTATTTTTCCTTAACTAAGCTTATTTTTGCTGAACTTAACTTATTTCTATTGAAATGATATTATTGAACATTATTTGAATTAGCTGAGGGAAACAGGGCCTTAATAGGTTCGGACAATGCCCAGGGTAAAAAGGAAATGAAGAGCAGTTCTAATAAATACAAGTAAATTAATAAGTGATCTCTTGCTTATATATTTTTGAGCAAGTTATTATAGTAACACAACGTTATACCACACTTCAATTTCCACTAGAGAAGTTCATCAACATATGATTCTTCCTTTTCAAATGAAACAATTTGAAATTTACACAATTCACACACTACACTTGGTTTATTTTTGGTGATTTTTTCATAAGGAAAAACATAATCACGTAGGGTCTGGTTTTTGGTTTTTGTTTTTAAATATTGATTATTGAAGATATTAATGGTGAAAGATATGCATTGGCATGCGTGAATATGAGATGTTTCATTATACCAGAATGCATTCTGGATTTATGGCAATTGACGAGGCAAATCATCAGTCAATAACAATTTTCCAGTTAGCAGCAATTAACATGTACTTGTATATAGCAGTAGCAGCAGAGGTTGTGTGGGAAAGCTAACAAATTATGCTTTCCACAATAAGATATAGGGTGGGAACTGGCAAGAAAGCATAATTGAGAAAGAAAAGACACTAAGGTTTTTCTCATTGGGACATCTCAATCATAAAGATGTTTTGAAGATTTAATGGCTAATAGTTGTAGTTTAATCAACACAAGCAAAAAAAAAAAACATCTCAAACTACATCATCAATGAAGTGTGTTATCTAAAATAGTTCCAACATTAACTTGGATCCATTTTCATAATAAGTCACCTTTTTGAAAAAAAATTATATTCTCACTATTCTTCAATCAATAGTATAAATTCACATCCAATAGGAACAATAAACATAAAAAGTCTAAAAATATTAGCTGACTGGCATATAAGAAGCCCATCCAAATACCTTGCAAATGGCTCATGTTGGTAGATTTTTCAATGAAGTCTGAAGTAGATTCCATAGTTGAGCCAATAACAGTAATTTGTTCTGCAGCATCTAAGGTGCACAATCAAATGGAGATTTGTCAGGGAGCTAACTGGAAAAGCATATGGAAGTCATAGTAGCTAATGATGAAGCTATTGTACCAGTGATAGCAACTGCTGGAGCTTTTTTCTTTAAAAAATATGCCTGCTCAAAGTGATATAACAATGACATATAATACTTGCGTAGGAGAAATGATCTTTTGATAGTCACAAAATTGAAGGCAGAAACCACCTCCTCCCATTTCCGATCTGAAATTACCTAAGACAGTAGAAGGAATATTATAATTTCAGCATGAATACAGAAGTTACATAAATCAATTTAGGATTACAGTGTTGCACAGGTCAGGTATGAAAAGGAAACAAGAAAGTTAACTCCAAACTTATGAAGAAGATTTGAAGGTGAATAAGTTCACAAAGACACAAAGAAGACTTTCCTCCTCACTCCCGAGTCCCAGTCACCATTGCAAACCCCCTCCACTGTCTTAAACAGAACAAACCTAAACAGGTATCTATTCAACCAGCCAAGCTCATGCATAACTAAACAACCACCAACAACCCGATATACTCCTAGCCTACCTGTTTTAGACACTACTAGACGAGTGTGAGCAACATATGAAGTAGAAGATATGCTTTTACAAAACATAAAGAGTTATTTCAATTGTGCCAGCTTTTTCAAAATTCAGTCGCTTACTCAACATTAGGTTTAATACATTGGTTATAAAATTATGGTCAAAGTGGGGCATATGATCAATGCAAAATGTCAAATTGAAACAACTATTACAAAATGGAGGGAATGACAAATTTGCTTCCCCAGCCCCCAAATCTCAGAAAGTAGATTACAAAATCACGGCAAAATTGCAGACATACAGATACATAAAGAACTCCTTAGGAACTGTTTACAAAACAACAATACAATATGTTAATAACAGTAATCAACTATGAACATTAATACAAACAGAGAAAAAAACAACAGACAGAAAGGTCTAACAATTTCGATCAATTTCATTATTGAAATTACTTCTTACTTGGTCAAGACCACCTCGAGACGTAACCTCTACAAACAGGCGATGTAAATCTAGAGTAGTTCCTCCAACAGAAGGAGAACTGCACATTAATCAAAAAAGTTTGAAACCCTATTAGTAATTATTAAACCAAAATATAAACTTCAACTAACCCAAACACAAAAATAACCCAAACAACAACTAGCAGCTAATTAATCCAATGAGTAGCAATCTAAATAAGTTTCAACATCATCAAAGGAACACCTTTTTTCATTCAACCCAGTTTGATAAGGCGGAATCGGATGTTCTCAAAAGGAATTAATTTCACAACAATTGGTCAGAATTGACAGAAAAGGCTTCTCTATAAAGCTCTTACACCCTTTTCTCTTCTCCCAAAATGGGTGAAATTAGACTAAGACAAAGCTAATAACATGATTTCTCCTCATTTTTTCCCCCAATTCCTTAATAATTTGATAATCAAACAAATAAACCCTTTGATTTCACAAATTCTCCTCAAATTTAATCATGCATTAGTGGTAAAACCCATTATATGAGAGCAAAAATTGAAGAAAAAATATAAAAATTGAATGAGAAAAGTGGGAAAACAAATGCATAAATCAAAAAGAGAAGGAGAGAGAGAACAAACATGAAATGGGTGTGGAAGGAAGAGTGAAAATGTTTGAGCTTTTGCAAGAAAAGGTCAGAATTTTGCACAAGTTTGTGGTATTCAGCTTCATCCGAAATTTCTGGGTAACAATTTGTTGTTGTCGATTCTTCATCTTTTTCTTCAGCCTGCTGGTTTTCCTCTTCCTGCTCTTCCATCTCCATTTCTATGGTCATTGAATTTCTTCGAGTATAATGTGTAACTGTGTAAAAGGTTCTCTTTTCTTCCCCTACTCACTTCAGGGTTTAACAGTCATCTTGTAGCCTATTTCGTCACAAGAATCACTTGTACAGTCGTATTATTTTTTTCAAGGAGCAATGAATATTATGGAAAATTTGATTGAAATAATCCCATCTTTGGCCGGTGTATGGTTAATAATCCCACCTTTAAATACTGGGATTTGTTAAACATCGCCCGCAAATTACTATATAAAGCCCACAAATATGACTTAGTGAGACATTATTGCCCTTATCATTTTTAAAAAAAAAACACTCTCTACTTCTCTCTAAAAAAAAGAAAATCTACCACTCCTAAATACGACAATGTCTAGGCGGCAAGGGAAGGAGGTGGCGGCGGCGACGGCGGAGGAAAGGCGGCGACCTGGTGGCAAGGTAATTATTTAATATTTTTTTTTAAAAAAAAAAAAAAAAAAAAATAAGAAAACGGTGTCTGTGGTGGGGCGTCTGGTCTGGCCGCCAGAGCCACTGGCGTGGCGTCTGGCTTGGAAGCCCGGCCATCAGGCCAGGCGTCCAAACCAAAAGCCACGCCATTGGCTGTGGCGGCCAGATCTGGCGCCTGGGCCATTGGCGTGGCTTTTGGTTTGGACGCCTGGCCTGGTGGCTGGGCTTCCAAGCCAGACGCCACGCCAGTGGCTCTGGCGGCCAGACCAGACGCCCCACATCCTTTTTTTTTTTTTTTTTTTTGTTATTTTGTTTTTGTTTTTTCTGATTTTTTTTTTATTTTTTTGTTTTGGTTTTTATTTTTTTTATTTCGCAAAATCAGAAATTTATTTTTATTTAAAATAATTTTGTGTTATTTCTTATTTTTTTTCGTTATTGTGTTTTATTTTTTTTTTAAAATATTTATCAACTTTATGTGTTTTTTTTAATAAGTCGTGTATATTTTATTTTTATAAAATCAGTTTTTGTGTATGTGGAAATTGTTTGTGTTAATGTGTAATTGTTTTTTTTATTTATTTTTTTTGTGTGTATTTATGTTTAATTATTTGAAATAATTTTTATTATGTGTTTGATTTTTTATAATCTTTATTAATTTTATGTTTATAAAAATGACGATATGTTGGAAGTGTTGGTATTTTGTATTTGTAGGTAGTTATTTATTTTTTTAAAAAACTTTTGTATGTTTATATATTTTATAATTTTTTGTAGAATTCACTGGGTCGTCAAGGTGCGGGGAAGAATCTAGCCATTCTTAGTAGAAGCTATTCAGTGGAGAGGTCGGGGGATAGACATGTTAGATCCCGTTTTATTTCGGCCTCGGCTCGTAGAGAACGAATCCACCGTCGGGATGAGGACGACGATGACGATGATGATGCTGAGGAGGGTGACCAGGAGGAGGGTGACCAGGAGGAGGAGCAGGAGGAGGGCGCATATGAGGATGAGGATGTGGACGATGGGAGTGGACCGTATGATGATTACGGTCCATTCAGTCAGAGGGTTGATGACATGTACGAGGCACATATGGTGGAGGTGCGTAAGGGTAGGGATGGTAGGTTTGTTAGCAGATCTGGCACATCATCTGCGTCCACTGTATCTGGGGCAAGCAGGAAACGGTCGAGGGCCGTTAATGATTCTTGGGTTGTTAGGAGTGAGGTGCCCGGTGGGCCTGTTGACGGGAGTGTGATTCCTAGCTTTCTAGGACACATAGCTTTCTAGGACCAGGAGAGGCCTTCAGTTACGGGCTTGTTGAAATGTCATACCCGGGAGAAGACTTGTAGCTTTTTGCGTACATGGGCTGATTCTTGGCCGGTGGAGAGCGAGATGTTCGATCGATTGCAGGGCACTGGGGTGGGTCACGTTCCTGCGACCATGCACGATAAGATTGACACTACGCTGATCACGGCTTTCGTTGAGCGGTGGCAACCGGATACGAACTCTTTCCACCTTCCGTTCGGTGAGTTGACGATCATGTTACACGACGTCGAGGCCATTCTGGGGATTCGTGTTGAGGGTAAACGACTTTGTACTGTGGCTGATGCGGATCAGGCAGATATGCTGGCGGAGTTGTTGGCGGTGGACAGGGCTGCACTGTACACCGAGGCGCTTGGTGTTTGGGATCACGGCGGTGTGAAGATCGCATCCGTGTTGGAGCGGTGTTTGAACCCCGCTGCGCGTAGGACGCACGACGCACAGCTGGCCGCTCATTGTTTTCTACTCCTCGGATGTACCTTGTTTCCTGATAAGAGCGGCGGAAACAAGCTCAGGCCGCGCGACATAGCTGAGGCGTGTGACCCCGACGATCTAGGCCAGTATTCTTGGGGATCGGCTACGTTGGAGTATTTGTATCGCCAACTAGGATTTGCGAGTCGGGCTGACGCGGCAGGTATCACTGGGTGTCTGACTTTGTTGCAGACCTGGAACTACGAGTATTTTCCTGCATTGCGACCACATCGTGACCCGGCTCCCATTGATGAGGGGATGCCGCGTGCCTGTGCGTGGAGACCGCGCTCTGAGAGGAAGTCCGTTGACCGGCTCCGATCGATACGTTTGGTGCTCGACAGGATGTCCCCCTTAGAGGTAAAGTTTATATATTATTTCTACAGTTTTTCAGTAATGCATTTATTATATGAATGTTAATAACTTTTAAAATAATGTGCAGGTAAACTGGATGCCATTCGGCTCGAACCCTAGTAACAGGGTACCCAGGACCCTGTACACCGGCCTCATTCAGTATCGTGATATCGTGGAGGCGTACATGCCCCAGCGTTGTCTTCGCCAGCTTGGATTTGTCCAAGTCGTCCCTCCTCCCCCGGCATGGCCGATGAAGGCGGTCCGATCAGCATCGTCGAAGGACTACGTCGTGCAGTGGCCGGACATCATGATTGCGACGTGGGACCAGTTTCCGATGGTTGCCCGGTTGTGGACTGCGGAGTTGCAGAGGCCGCCATCTGGGGTTCCTCCCATGTCTGACCACTACTACATGGAATAGTTCAACCGGTATTCGCACCCGAGGTTGATTGCAGACCTCGACCATAGTGATGCTGATTACATGCCACCGCGAACTGCCGTCGAAGCGGTATGTCTCTTAAAACATTTGTCGTTGTTTTTTGTATTTAAGTTTTATACGTTGTTGTTGTATTTCATGTCGTATTTTCTGTTGTATGTAGTGGATGGGCAAGATACAGCAAGACGTACAGAAACTGTCTTTGGAGAAGGACAGCATGAGCGGACCAGCGAGAGCTGCTGTTGATAGATTGGAACAGACACTTGCGCACTGGGAGTCGGCGTCCACGAGAGATTACTGATTGTCACGGCATGTTATTTGTAGATCATTTTAAACATTTTTATTTTAGTTTTTGATATTTTTCATTTACGTTTGCATGTCGATGACTTTAACATTGTGGTTTAAGTTTGTAACATTTCAGCTTATTGTTTTAGATTTCAAAATGCGACAACATCGTTTGCTGTTTTTAAATTAATGTTGTCATTAAAACAGCAACGTAAAAATAAGGTTACATAGAAACAATGTACACATCAAAAACTAAAAGGCAGCTAGGGTGTTCCATTCGTGGATCCGGTCATGGTATAGCGCATCCCAACCCTCTACGCTCGGTGTGCGAATGTCGTACCAACGAGGTATAATCGGTGGCACAGGAAAATCGGTTGACATGTCTAGTCGGATGAAATGTCTGTATGACGACCCAAGAAAACCAATAACTACCTCTCTTTCCGGTGTAGTAACAGTCTCACGCGAAGACCAAGGGAGAACCGTGGTACAAGGATAATAAGCTCGACTATGCAATCCAAGCCCGAAATGCACGACTGTACACTTGTAAATGTTTGCAACCGCGAACAGATCTAGTGGCGCGTCAAAATAATGATTTTGACCGCATGGTCCACCTCCCCACCGGATACGCCGCAGAGCCCTATCCAAGTCATCCTGGTACACATGACGATAAACATTACGGTTAGAGGCAATTTCGCTGTACATCAACTGACGCACCAAACCGTAGTTGTCTTCGCCCATTTGAAAAACATCAGCCACGACCCGGAATCCGCAGTTACCATCTCCGACTACATCGTTCCACCCTTCCAAGTACGGCATGATGATGTTAGGTATCCTGTCCTTGTACGGAAACTGATCAACATCGTTTCTTCCTATTCAACATATAACTAAACCCAGTTACCAAGGCAGAAGTAACGTAACAAAAACAATGTACAATCCAAAATAAAGTAAGCAACCGTACCAGTTCTCAGGGGCATATTCACAGACGATGAAGATTGACTACGACTAGATGACGATGTCCGGCCACGAGCACGACCACGACCACGACCAAGACCACGGATATACTCAAACGCACTCCTGTTCCGCCGTGGCCGACCTCGAGGACAGCCAACTCCTTCGGGTTCCTCGAAATCTAAGGTAGACGTGTGGAACATGTCATGAAGTACATGAGTAGCGTCACGTATAATAGAAGGATGGCTGGAGGACACTCGGTCGTACATCGAACGAAACTGCTCACGCTCCTCCTGTTCACGGTCGGCCGTTTCAATATCTGCATGCTCACCAATAACGAGCGTCCGCCAGAATGAATGAACCTGATCAACATGTAACGACGCCCTGTCTTCTGTAATAACGCGGTGAATGGTGCATGCGCAAGGTAATCCATGAGTTACTGAAATAGCACACCCGCACCGAGCATACACTTCGTCAGCCAAGTCCCTCATCCTATTCAACTCAGTGAGAATCAACCCCAAGCAGTAGTGCGATACACGACCATGGAGAATCTTAAATATGAAATGGCTATACATCGTACCATGTCGTCGTCTGGAGTCCTCTAGAGAGTTCCTGATGCCGTTCTTCTGAGTTTCAATTGACTTGTTAAGTCTATCGAACAGTGTATCCAAAGCAGCGGTCGATGAATCAATCCAGTCCTTGGTAGCTCTGTGAGCGCTCTCAACTCTACATGTTGTAGTGTTCCCGAAATGCAGTACCTGGTTTGTCCAATATTTGACAAACTTTTCCCTGTGAGGGACCCATTGCTGCATCACATAGTCCACCAGTGCCGGACACCACTGGTACGAATCCCTGAAGTTAGCCAATTCTCGCTCGTACGCTTCCTCTGTGGTAGCCTGTAGGATTTTCCGCCACTTACCATTCACCAATCTCTCTGCCCTTTCCAAGTTCTTGTTGAAAAGGTTGTAGGCTTTCACTTTCACGCAGTTGTTGATGTGCCATGTGCACAATAGGTGCTTCGACTCTGAAAACAGCTCCCTAATGGGGGCAAAGAGACCTCCCTCACAGTCACTTACGATGGCTGCTGGATGAACATTAGGCCCGATGTAGTTTCTCAGCTTCTCCAAGACCCAATAATAACTTGGAGCCGTCTCATCCTTCATGATTGCATGACCAATCAGAAAGTTCTGGTTCGTTGGAGTCATCCCCATGATCTCAACCAGTGGGAACTTGTACTTGTTTGTCTTGTACGTTGAGTCGATCAAAACCACAAATGGCCAAGAATTGATCATATCGGCACAATCAGGATGCACAAGGAAAAGATGAGTCACCTCCGCTGTATCTTCATCAGAATCAAACCAGAACAGATAACCACGTGATTGTGCCTGGTGTAGCAGCTGTTGTATAGGGTTCCTTCCCTCTGACCGTTCAAACCTGAGTTGTTGTCTGACGTTGTAGATGTGTCTTCGGTTTGGATGGTCTTCTGGAAATTTCTCTAACACAGATGCTAATATTTTAGCAGGCTTGACTTGAGCATCACTCATTTCTTTCACAACTAATTTTGCAGCAGGACTTAAGCCGCTCAGCTGTCGATGACCCTCTTCATATACTATCATCTCATGGTTGTGATACCCCCATTTAGAGTAACTAATCACTTCCCAACCATCACGACTGCGGAGTTGTCGAACCTTTACTCTGAACTCACACCCACAACCTTTCCGCTTTGTATCAAACCGAGTGGCTGTACGGAAATCTCTTTCTTCTCTTTTGCGATAACGGTCGCATCTCAAAATGCGATCCATTCTACCATCCCGTTGAGATTTATGAGTTACTACTACCAAGCAAAATCCAGCTGTAATTGCAACCTGTTTTGCCCAATCAATCGCTTGCTGAGCATCTTCGAATGGACCATCATGTCCAAATATCCCACTGTAATCATTTCCGTCTCCACCATAATCCTGCATCAATTATATATTAAAAAAACCATTCTCAATTTTCAAACTTAATTTTAAAAAAAACCATTCTCAATTTTCAAACTTAATTTTTTAAAAAAACCCATTTCGAATATTCATACTTAATTAAAAAAAAAAACCATTTCAAATTTTCAGAATTAATTTTTAAAAAACCCATTTCGAATTTTCAAATATAAAACAATTTCGAATTTTTCTAAAAATTCATTTTCGATTTTTCAAATTTAAAAAAAAAAAATAAATTAAAACAACAATAAAAAAAAAAGAAAAAAAAACAAAAAAAAAAAAAAAAGGGTGGCTGGCGTCCAGCTTGGAAGTCACCACCACCAGCCTGGCGCCTGGCTAGGACGCCGCAGCCAGTGGACTGGCGCCTGGCCAGGACGCCAGCCTAGTGGTTCTGGCTTCCAAGCTGGACGCCAGTGTGGTGGTGAAGGCGTTTGGCTTGGACGTCCATCCTACGGTTTTGGCGTCCAAACTAGGCGCCTGCGCCACTGCACGGCCACCTATTTCAGACGCCGGCACGTAAAACGTCAAATTTAACGGTGATTTACCTCGTTTTCCGTCGACGACGATGTACCTCCCGCGTCCCCCGCATCTCCGGCCTCCCCTCCGGTCTCCACCGACGACCCAGTACGGCTCCACATTTTTTATTTTTAGAGATTTGTTCAATTTTGGAATAAGGGCATAAATGTCAAACTAAGTCAATTTGTGGGCTTTATATAGTAATTTGCGGGCGATGTTTAGCGATTCACTTAAATTATTACGGAGTATTTAATAATGTTTTATTGGTCCCTTATGACCGGTAACATGAATATTGGGTAAACATTTTTATTTTATTTTATTTTTAATTTGATAATCACTTTTTTTTTTTAATTTCAATGAATTAAAAAAAAAATAAATAAATCAATTTCAAGGGATGGCTTGAGGTTGAATTTGGGTAAGAGTTTTGGGGATTTTCGATAGTTTTCGGCGGTTAGAGGAGGGTTTCATCGGTTGGGTGGGGTTGTTTTAGGGTGGTGGTTTCGGGGGTGGGATTCGGGTTAGGCCGTTAAGGGGAGATTTCGGGGGTAGCTTTTGGTCGACGGGGTGGTTTTCGGTAATGGGGTGTTCTGACCGGCCATTTTTAGGGGTGTAGGATGGAGGCTGGCCGGTTTTAGGTGGGGTTAAGGTAAGGTTAGGTTCACGGTGGGGTGGCTGGTGGGGTTTTTTTTTCATTATTTTTTCTGTGTTTTTCTTAATTTTTTTATGTTTTATTTTTCAACCAATTAAAAAACGACACATGGCATATTAAGTAATTGACCTATCAAAACCGGTTACCAACAGGTTAGGGACCAACAAAAGAAGATTCCCTATAAAGTTAGGATTATTAAATAATAATCTAAGGGTGTGATTATTAACCGCTAACCAACCAAAGGTGGGATTATTAGAATCGATTTTTCCTACTATTTTAAGAAAATCCAAGTTTTTCTTGTAAATAAAGGTGTTAATTCGGATGCCTCGGATTTGATGAAGTTGGGTTTGGTCGGGTTACTATAAATTTGAGCCATAACTGATGGTCAAGTATTGAGTTCATACAAGTCGAAATCTTAATTTGACTTTTTTTTTTTTTGTTTGTTTGTTTTTTTTTTTGCGTGTATTCGGATCGGGTCAGTTTTTGACACCTCTACATGTAAGTACATCTCCTCATACATTCTATCTTTAGGGTAGTTCTTCTGCACAAAATATCCATCTACTCATTCTATTGTAATCGAAATGATATTCTATAATATCTCAATTATAATTATATTATACTTTGTATAGCATTTTGTAAGTTGACATATATTTTACTTTAAAACTATTCAACAATATAATTTTATGATAAGTACGAAGTATTAAGAAAAATTGTCACGTATGTGGAGTCTCATTAAATTCATCTCAATGACTATTTTCAAATATCAAATACTAATTACTTTGTTTATACATAATTGTACATATTTATATTTAAAATTATACACTATGTATTGACAAACCTAGGTAAAAATCCATATGTCAACTAAAATAAAACGAATGACGTAGGATTGAATATTTTTCAATCACATACATCTCTCCCAAACTATAATCCTTCACCCTAAATCGTGCATGGAAGATAAGATTTAATGATTGTAGTTGCTAAATGCCTAAATTATTGTACATCCATGTATGCATCAATGTGTTATTAGACTCAATACACTAAAACAAAAGAGATATTTATTTATTTATTTATTATTATTATTATTATTTTTCTTTAATATATAGAAATCCATAGGCCGTAGTGAATTGTGTTGATTCTTCCACCTCCAACGCCAAATTAGAATTTTCCAAAATAAAGAAGTACAAATGTACAAAATTGAATGGTGCATTTCGTCTTTAATTTCATTGTACTATCTGTCTGTTGCGCAACATAACATTCCAAAGATAAATGAATGATGGATTGATGGATCAATGCAAGGTCGACTCCAACTAGTCAACTGCGTACCTTTCGATATTGTACGAGCATGAATACGACCTTAGCTTATTGGAAGGAGTATAAATTATGGGGTGTGCTTGTTTCGCCCTTTTGAAATTTCTAACTTAACTAACACTCTCACCGTTTTACACACGTCTGTATCTAGATAGATATTGTACGCTGTATATAGGTTTTGACTAATTGTTCCACGTCGAAGAAAGGGGAAAATGACCATAACTTGTTTGATGGGGACATTAATGTAGTCACTTTTTTAGTTGATATGTTACTATTTTCCACAACCTCTTAATTTGAAATGAGCCCGCTACCGTAAAAGCTAAGGACTAATTCAATTAGGGTAAATCGAGCTTATAATTAACATGGGTCACTATTTGTACACCCTCTCAACTTGGCATGAACGGTACGTCAAAGCTAAGAACCAAGTCTAGTACGACAAAAACGAGCTTAAAACATGGGTCAACTGCGTCAATACATGTAAATCGATACTTGTATGAGTTGCATCTTGCTATACTAATTGAATGTTACGAGTACTCATCTTCTCAGATTTTATTGTCCACAAGGACCACAACATTTCAAGGGATACTGATGGATAAAGGGACTATGCAATGATTAACTACTATTCATATAGTACCTTCTTCATTTTTTAAAAAAATTATTATTGTATACTAACTATTTATTTCCAAGCAATGCTAAAACATGCAGATTACATGTAAAATAGTGAGATAATTATATCAGTGGGACGGTTAATAAAAAAACTTGTAGAAAGAACCGCAGATAGCAATATTTGTTCATCAAATACAACCGCTATCAACAATTGCGGTTGTAAATATAAACCTTTATCACCAATTGCGATTCTACACTGACCCAAAAAAAAAAAAATACCCGATAGAATAAGTTTTTTTAAAATGACGTAAAATACGAATTAATTTTGATTTAAAAAATTTCTAGGTAAATCATTCCAAATAAATAATTTTTACTAAATAATTTGTACACTTTTAGTAATGTCAAAATTTTTTCATAATTATATTTGTAATTTTTTTTTTTTTTTTTTTTTTTTTTTTTTTTTGTGTTCCACCCAATTCACCTTTTGGACTATTCCGGATTCCGGGATTAATTTTGGGTGGTTAGGTTCCAGTCCTCTCCCACTTGTTAGGAAAGGAATAATACATTGCATTGAGACTAATGAATAGATATATTATGGACTTATGGAGTACTCCATATTATACTTTTGTTACTCCGTTTGTAATTGCAACATAACAAATGGAATGGGAAAAAAAATGAGTATGTTTTTGTCCAAAGCGAGTTTTTTTTTTTTTTTTTTTTTTTTTTTTTTTTTTTTTTTTTTGGTGTACATTCATTTTCACGGGAAGACTTTTCAATTTGTAAAGACCAATAGTAGACTTTCCTCTTTTTTTTTTTTTTTTTTTTTTTTTTTTTTTTTTTTTTTTTGAAAGCAGTAGTAGACTTTCCTTTATAAAAGCTCTCTCTCAGTTTTTTTGTTCAATGCAATTCTACTCTCATTTCTAGCCCTTACAATTTAAAACCTGTTTCAATACTACTCTAGTAGGCATGACTTACTCAAATTATGCTCTTCTACTAACAATTTCCGTGTGTTGGGTGTTGACACCACTAATCACCGGCGACAAAGTAGTGTTACCCCTCGTAATCGCGCCACACTGTTCAGATAAGTGTGGAAATTTGAGCATTCCTTACCCCTTTGGTATTGAAGAAGGTTGTTATTATAAACCACCACATAATCAAACATCATCATCCTTTAAAATTACATGTAATCATAGTACGAGCCCTCCTACACCAATCTTTGGTATAGATTACAAAGTTCTTAACATTTCAGTGATAGAGGGAGAACTCCGCACTAAACTCGGTGTTTCTTACGATTGTTACAACAAGACTAAGAATACTGCCTATTGGTGGAGCTCGTTCAACTTGGTAACATTTACCCTGTCTAGCACAAAAAACATGTTAGTTGTTATAGGGTGTGACACCTATGCCTGGTTTAAGGGTTTTCGAGGTGGCAGGAAATACGAAACAGGATGCATGACTAAGTGCGTGGAGTTAGAAGATGTGATCGATGGTGAATGTTCCGGCGTTGGATGCTGTCAAGCTTCCATACCCGGTGGGGTAAACAACGTTCGAGTGGTATTAAACAGCTATAACAACCATAATTCTGTATACACTTTTAACCCATGTAATGCTGCATTTCCGGTGGCAAAAGATGCTTATACGTTTTACCAACAAAATTTAACTCAACCTGTGGAGTACTGGGAATCCTTGCAACTTCCTGTAGTATTCAATTGGACTATTGGACAGCACAGTTGTTCAGCGGCGAAAAAAGATGGGAGTTGCTTGTGTAAAGAAAACGCAGTTTGTTATGATCCGATTCATGAATTTGGGTATCGTTGCAACTGCAAAGATGGTTATTTTGGTAACCCTTACCATCCTCGTGGATGCACAGGTATATAATTAACTTATGGCTTCACCAATAATTTTATCATTTTTCTTTAAATTTTTTTTATCTACTTAACAAATGTTGGTAAGATTTTTATGGTCGATGTTTATATTCATAGATATTGACGAGTGCAAGGGAGCGAATAATTGTGAGAAAGCAGAGTATTGTATCAACACAAACGGAGGCTACCATTGCAAATGTCCAAAGGGGTACCACGGAAATGGAACGAAAGACGATCGTTGTATTTCTAATACAAAGCCTTGGCTCATACCGGTTTTGGCTACTGGCGGTAAGGATCACATTATAATTGCTTATACAGATTTCTATCCTTAAATTTGTTGTCATTCTTGACTTCTTTTAGTATGATAATGCGATTTTTAATACTAAACTTTTGTATACACCTATTCACACTAATATTAATGTACATTGAGCATTATAAGGGTAACTTTTAATTAATTTTAGGTTAACTTTTTTTTTTTTTTTTTTTTAAATAACTTTATACATAATACTCCCCCCGTTTTTAAATACTTGATCCACTTTCCTTTTTCGGCCGTTTTTATATACTTGCTCCATTTCCTTATTTGAAAAGCTTTTACAATATTTAATTATTTTCTCTCACTTAGTGGACCTAACATATATTCTCTCTCCTGCAATTCTCTCCACTACTTTTTCCTTTTACAATTTTTTAATCTTCCACCAACCCCACTACCTCCATATTTTATTACTTTCTCCAATTTCTCCTAAAATACAAGTTAATCTGCCAGATAAACGAATTTTTGTTAATCTGATGACATTTTTGTAAATATATTGAAAAAGCATGGTCATTTATTCAGTACTTTTGGTGAGTTGTCCAATTACTGTTTGCAACTTGCTTTTACTGTTTATTGAGGAAATTACACATGTACCCCTCAACTAGTACATGAAAAGGCGCATATACCCCTCCACTGGTACTTGAAAAGACAATTATACCCCCAGATAAACAAATTTTGTTTATTTGGGGAATTAACTGGGTATCCCTCCTTTAGGCTATCTTTATAATAGATATACTATAATTATTGTACATCCGATTTTTTTTTAGTATGAGAGCCAAAAACACTTTTATATACATCCGGTTGACACTAATATTAGTGTACATCGAGCAATATAAGGGTAACTTTAAGCCAATTTAAGGTAACTTTTTGCCCTTTTTACCAATAAAGCGTAGAATATTTTTATTTGAATTGAGTTACTTTTATACATATTCGAGTAACTTTTATTCATTTCAAGGTTAATTTTGATCACTTTGATAGATCTTTATAATTGAAGAACAATAATTATAGTACACCCGATTTGTTTTAAAAGTTTATGTATTTTATGTGATTGATTTTATATGGAACTAACATTATGAAACAGAGGGAATAATATACTTAGTGGCATGAGTATCTCGAAGTTATTTGCATACTTCTAATATAATTAGTGGTTTTGTATCTCGTAGGTATTGGTGGTGGCATTATAACTTTGCTCCTTTTCGGGTTTCTCCTGCACTTTAAACGAGAGGAAGCACAGACTAGGAAAACACGAGAAAGTTTTTTTCGGCAAAATGGTGGTTTACTTTTACATGAAAAACTCTACGGACGGCGTGTTGATACATTAAAAATCTTTACTATGCAAGATCTTGAAGTTGCTTGCAACAATTATAGTGATGAAAACATAATAGGAAGAGGAGGTTTTGGAGTTGTTTACAAGGGCATTTTGCCAAATAACCAAGTTGTGGCAATAAAAAAATCTCTCAAAGTGGATCCAAATCAAGTAGAACAATTCATTAATGAAGTTCTAGTTCTATCACAAATCAACAACAGAAATGTGGTCAAGTTACTAGGTTGTTGTCTTGAGAGTGAAGTACCACTATTGGTCTACGAGTTCATCAACAATGGGACGTTATATGACCACTTAAATGATGCAGCTAGAGCTTCCATAATGACATGGCATGTACGCTTAAATATAGCATCTAAAGTTGCTAATGTGCTATCATATCTACACACCACAATCTCAACACCAATAATTCATAGAGATATGAAATCAATGAACATACTCTTGGATGAATGTTACACTGCTAAGGTAACCGACTTTGGAGCTTCAAGGTTGATTCCACCGGACGAAAACCAATTTGCTACGATGGTGCTTGGAACTCGAGGGTATTTGGATCCCGAATATATGCAGACAGGTGAGCTAACTGAAAAGAGTGATGTTTATAGTTTTGGTGTTGTCTTGCTGGAGCTATTGACAAGGGAAAAGGCAATTTCTAATGCTAGGCCGGAAGCTGAGAAATTTCTCACCATGCACTTCCTTCTCAAGATGAAAGAAGGTCGTTTGTTGGACATTCTTGACATAAACATAGTGAGCGAGAAAACTATTGAAGAAATACAACAAATGGCTAATCTAGCTAAATGGTGCTTGATGTTAAAAGGAGAGGAGAGGCCTACCATGAAAGAAGTTGCATTGGAATTGGAGACTATAAAAAGAAAGGGATCCCATCCTTGGAATGATGATGGTTCAATTCAAGAAGATTCTGAATCTTTGCTCGTCGGAATTCCAAGGTCAGACGACCATGGTGGTGGTTGTAGCAGTGGTGTCGATTCTAATTCATACGACTCACGCTTGCTCACTTCTTTGGGAAGTGGTAGGTAACTATGATTCTCGCGGATGCTGCTTGGAGTCATTCATAAATATCAAATTTCTTTCGTTTATAAGTTTAAGTGGAATACTATGTAATCATGTATGAAATACATGTTATGTTTTTGTGAAGATTAATTAATTAAATTGTCTCTGTATTACACATTTATCGATCCTAATATATGTCATTATAGTAGCTCCATTATATATATTTTGTTGGAAATGGTAATGCAATCGGTTAATTGTAAGGCCTGACGATCCACACTCATGGGGGATTAAACGTTCCAAGGATTACTCGTGGCCGATCGGGTGGGCCATTGCCCGATTGGGCCCACCTAATTTGCTTGAGTGGGTGTAGGGAATATTTCAAGCATTTCCCCTAGCTTGAACCCCACTGTGATCATACACTAAAGTACCGTAGCGTCCAAAGGGAAAGAAGATAGAGTAAAAGAGTCGCCAACAAGTTTTAGGAACTTGTAAACCGTTCACGAGGTGAAGGTTACACCCCTTAATGATCCAGGAGATCGTCAACTCCAATAGGTCTGGAACCATGACTGATAGTTCGGGGATGAAGGTACAAATCCAACCTAAAAGAGATTGAACCTGCCCTAATAATAGGCCTCTACTTTATTCTGATCATATTCATGTGCCCTTTCTGACTAACATGCAATCAATAGGTTTATCCTAAACCTGTTTATCTATGTTGGTTGAATATTAATGCACAAATAAACTATTATTGGAGTCACTTGAATTATAATCAAAATTAACCCTAAACAAGATTATTAATTATCTTATTAAGCGTGATTACAAGTACAAATTCCCTTTAAACATGCATAAAAGGTGTGATAATCAAGCAACATAATAAATCAAAATAATAATTATAATCATAATAATAAAATAATCATGTTAAAGCATAATATTAATAGTAAGATCCTAGGCATGATACTAACAAGATTAATAACAAACCCTAGCATGTCACTAAGCAATGAAAATCAAATATATAGCCCTAACATGATACTAACAATCATAAATATTAGAAAGAATATAAAAGGCATCATACTTTTAATCATACTTGATATTAGCATTTTTTAGTTATTACCCTAAACATGATACTAGGAAGATCAAAACACCCTAACATGACGCTAGGATTCATAATAACAACCTAAACATGATTTCTAGATCATAATAATAATAAAAACCATTAAAGCACTTACTTGGATGCCTCGTACCTCTTTCTAATAACAAAATACACGCGTTAGTAACTTCAAGGAAAATAATAAACAACAATTAAATTAAATAATTGAAATAGAGATTAAGAAAGTTTAGACTAGATTTGGGACTAAACCCTCAGAAATATCAAACCTTTCACGTCTAGGGCGAAGACAACTTCAAACAATGCTAGGTGTTTCTTGGTCTTGTGAATGCGGAATTTTGTATAAAGGGTTGGTTTAAAAAAGAGAGAAAGATAGCTTTAGCTTCGAGAAAGAAGAGAATTAGAGAATTGGTGATTGTGGATTGATGATTGTAGTGATTATTGGCGATTCAAAACGGAGTTTTTAGGAGGCTATTTATAGAGAAAATCAGCCAAAAAGATAAAAAAAAACAAATCAGAGTTTCAACGTCATGAAAAAAACGAAGTTAGCGCCAGACGCTAACATTAGCGTCAGGCGCTAATAACTGGCGTTAGGCGCTAATCAATTTTTTTTACGCGTTTTCTAAATTCAGATAAAATTTAACCGTACAGGAAGATAAAATCGTATTTTCCTCAAAAACACTTTTATTCTGATTAAAACTCTAAAAAGTCAATTTATCAATGCTAATTGAATTAGGAATGAAAATAACCTTCTAGAAGAATCTAGAAGACTAAAACCATTCCTGATTGCATTAGGAATGATAAATCCATATTAGGCCCTCCTCTAGATCATTGGGCCCCATATAAGGCTCAAACCGGGCCCAGTTTAGTAATTTGGCCATAACTTCCTCATTATTCATTGGAATTGGGCTTATAATATATCGTTGGAAAGCTCTTTTCAATCCCCATCCAACTACACCATTATTGGACCCTTTACATGGACCAACCAAACTGGATTGGCTGTTTTCTTAAAATAGGTTTTCAAAAACAGAGAGAAAAGAAAAGAAATTAAAACTATCCGCAACACTAGACTTTCCACACTTTCATTTCATTCGATTATGATTCGACGTGAAAGGTACTCATCACCGGGTTTGATTTTGGGGAGACACAAATGGGTGTCTACAGTGGGTTTGTTTATTTGTCTCCTATTTTTGGGTTACATATAAAATACGAGTATTGTCTACTTCTTTTAATAATTAATAACACAATATTATTGAACCCTAAACACATAAACACAAGCCTACCCCTTTGATATCTGAACAGTTCTTGAGCAATTCCAACCTTCGAATTCGGGTACACGAATTATGGAGGTCATTGTGTAAAACTTGGGGGGCGTGCGTCACTAGGATACTTATACCGGTGGTGGCGTATTTCACTTTTAAGTCATTTGATTCCAAAACACGACACAACTGAAGGAGAACAGGTTTATGTTTCGAGAATAGCGGTCGAATTTGCTTCAAGGGAATTTCTTGATTTGTCTATTATCATCCATGGAATCAACATGTATTTTTCCAACAATTTAGAAGCAAAATAGTATAATTAATATACTGTTGATTCCTTAATTGTGTGTCGTTCTGTTCAACAAGAGACGAAGGATATTAAGGCTAAATTTATTTGCCGATCTTTGTTAATTACGGCTGAATCAATTTGGTAAATTAAATTTTTAAAAAGAAAGCAAGGGATATTAGAAACTGGTTGTTTCAATTAATATGATACGATGGAAGCTAATTGATTTTTCATTATGTTTGATCGCGTGTAAGTTGCTTCTTCTGTTGACAAGTGTCGACAATTTTCTATAATGTCGGCTAATCTATGATAAAAGAAGCCCTCTTAATCTTGGAGTATATTTTGGTGGGACTCATAAGTTCGTAGCTATTTGAAGTTTGGGTGGAGCGTAATTCTTTATCTCTGACGTTGTTGGGCTTCAAGATTTGATGCCATGATGACGCAATTAAGTTGGACAATTAAATCATCTCTACTTTGTGATGTTAAGGCACTGTAATTAGAATTTCTTTGATTAACCTGATATTATTCGGGAGATATTAATCGAAGACTCGAAGAGTGCTGCATGATACCTGATGACATGGTTGTATTTCATGTTCCGGTGAGGTGGATAACCGATTGCTAGCCCAATGGTAGTAGTCTTCTCCACGGGCAAATGTGATTGATTAAGAACTCGATCAGAAGGGAAAACCTTTTATAGCTGAAATGATCTTTGTCAGATAAGTCCTCAATTTATTTAACTTATTTCTAACTCTTCTTTATATAATATGTTTATTATATGTGCCCAAAGTATGCATAATTTATTTTATGATTTATTGTGTTGCAATGTGGGGGTTGAGTTAGTCTTTTTCATGATGGTGAGAACTTTGAGATGGAAACTCTTTGAGAAGTTAGTCTATAGCTAAATGATATTTATTTTTTCTAAAGAGAAACTACCTTATTTCTGCTTTTGTTTGTGTGCTTTGTTTAATCATGTATGATTATGGGCATTGTTATTTTTCCTAGTTGATTAGGGATGTTATGTGTTCTATCTTTGGATAGTATTATGTTGAACTGTTTCCCTAACCTTGGAATAATATTTGTTGCGCATGGAGTATGTGATAAGCTTGTGATGTTCCCTTTTTAATTTGAAAAAGGGATTTAGAATTATTGTTGTTAACTCTTGCGGTTTGTTTAGCTTATCTTAGAATTTGAATTGTGTTTAATTGCTAGAGGACTAGCATTTAACCTTTCTTGTTGAAGGTCTAGGTGTGACCAGTTTTCCTCTATGCTTGAGATCAGAAGTGAAAGGTATGATTTGACAAGGACTGGTAAAGTTATACTAGTTTAAATGTTATGGACTCCACATGAGGTAAGAATATAAAGTAAATTTTCTATGTCTTAATTGTAGATTATTTATTCTGTGAATATTTTCTATGTGGGAGTAGCCTTATAGTTCATGTTGTTATGTTATTAAAGTGTTGTTCACCCAAGTTGTTAGTTGTCTTTCCCTGAAACTTTGATAGGAGTCATGTTTTATTATCACAAGGTGTGTGATCTAATATGGGGGTTTCTAACTATGAATTTATTCCTTAAAGTACATTTCATATGACATGTGTGACCAGTATGTAAATGTATGGGTGATGTATATGTTGAACTATGAGCTATTTGTGTAAGTCTGTATGACCTTAATTTGACCGTTCATGTATGTGAAGTTTCTCAAGTACATTTTATCTTATATATTAACCGATTAACCTTGGTTGATCATGTGGTTGCTTTTGTCTCTTAAGCTTTGGTCTGGCAAGCAGTTAAAGAGTGGATCAACTAAGGTAAGTATAATGACCCAAGCATGAACTAGATGAGTTCCATCTTGTGTTTACTTTCCTGTTGGAAAGTTTTAGATGGATTGATTAATTGGTATTCTAGTGATTGTGGATAAGAATCCTGAACCATATGAAAAGACCATGATAAATATTACTTGATTTAGTTTCGAAGAGAAAAAGCATGTTAAATTGAAAGTAAGCTCTAGTTGAGTTTTATGTGCTTGAAATTTATATGTCTTGTCTTGCCATGATATGTCCTTCATTTGTAATTGTCTTTCAAAGGAAATTGGAAGGTGTTTGTTTACATTGAAAGGAGGTTCGTTGAAGGTAAGATATTGTATTTTCATGATATACATGTAAGTTTGGTATTGACCCAATTGTGTTACTCACATGTGCTATGAGTTTTTCTACTTTGCAGTAAGGTTGTGTAAGCTTCCTAGCGTGATTGACTGATGATCATGGGGTTTGTTAGTGATACAATCATATGAGACAACTGAAGGTATAAGGTATAACCTTCACATATTAATTAGCTTTTGCAGTTAATATGGTGAGTGAACTAGACAAGTCATGTGGGGGTCAAGTGTAAGTACCCAAACTATGTCAAATGTTTCATTCTTGGCATGCTAATGTATTGATGTAATGCATGTGTGTGTTTATTATGATAAGCATTGACGTTAGTCAGATGCTTGCTTAATCATATGTTGTTGATTACACGTACATGTAT